TTTCTTTCCCTATGAGCCTCTGTCCATAAAACAAGGCTAAGAGGAGACCCAAATAAATCCACGTGCTTGGCTATAAGTGAGGTCTTCCTTTTCTAACTGGGAAAATGTTGCAGCTAATAATGTAGGAGTTTTCTTTGGCCCCTAAATATCATGATATAGTGGTATTTGACTTATCCACACTTCATGTAATTATCCACTTAAGTTATTCTGAACACAGACCAGAGCCAGGAAGTACTTTTTTTTTTTAAACCAGGAGTCCAGCTCAGGGCCTTTTGCTTGCCAGGTAGGTGTTGTACCACTGAGCTACATCCCCATCCCTGGATACTGTGTTGTATGACTACAATCCCATTTATGTGGCAAGTTGAGGCAGGAGGATCACTTGAGCCCAGGGGTTTTGGCCCATCCTGGGCAACATAGTGAGATTCTATTTTTTAAACACACACACACACACACAGACACACACACACACATGTACGCACACTCACACACCTAAAACCAGGAAGTAAGCATTAGAAGTTCCTGAGCACGCCAGACACGTGCTGTGTGCTCATATCTTTGAATACATACATTTTAAAAGAAAACTTTTTGATCTGTGTTGAGTGTCTCCTTCCTCAACTTAGGAAAGCAATTCCGTTAAGTGCTGTATCTATTCACAACCCAGTGGAAATTTTTCAGTGCCTGGTTCTTAGAGGTGGTAACGGGTGTTGGTGATTGCTAATCAGACCTGTCCTGGTGGTGGCCCTCAGTGGCCGACAGCCTTCTGAAGGAAGAAGGACTGTAAAAGCAGACCCGAGAACAGGACCGCAACAGCAGCCTGATTTATTCATTTTAAAAGCAAACAGACTCTCATGTCTCGGTATCCTGTGACCTCATTATTGAGGCACAAGACCTAGCTAGAAGCCATTGTGCATGATGACAATGCAGAGCAATGGAGACGATTAAATTCTCTGCAGTGTTCTGTTTAAAACAGGAAATTGGGGCGAAACTACCCAATCGCATGCCCCGCCCCACCGTCCCTCTCTCAGGACAGCAGCTTTCTTTCTCTCAGTAAATATACTCTGCTCATAAAAAAACAGGAAATCATAATACATTGTAAGAGTGGTCTTTTTGAAACCCAGCTACCTATTGTATTTTGAGAAAGGGTCTTGCTGTGTAGTTCAGACTGGCTTTGACCTTACCCAGGCTAGCCTTGAGCTCCTGGTGATCCTCCTGCCTCAGCCTCCTGAGTGCCGGCATTACAGGCACGTTGACATTTCAACCCAGCTACTTGTATCTGGAAAGCTTATGACTGTCAAAGGCTTCGCCCTCTTGGCAGTCCGGCCAGTTGAATAAAGGGTTACCTCTCCATTGTGGTAACGGAGCTCCCGAAGGTCACCTGGGCATTGCACAGTGTTCACTCCTGTTTTTCTCTGTTTAGCGTCTCTGTTTGAATGGGAGTACTGGGCAAGAAGTGATCATCAGTTCCGGCCTGGAGACTGTAGAAGCTTTGGCCTTTGAGCCCCTCAGCCAGCTGCTCTACTGGGTGGATGCAGGATTTAAAAAGATTGAGGTATGCAAGGTCCCATGTTGTTCGTCATTAAGTGAGCAGGCGGCGTGCCTGGGCATTGGGCCAGAGTGACACAGAGGTAGGAGTCAGTGTTTCGTATTGCTCTGGAAATTTCCTGGGGACCAGCAAATGGAGTGGCAGAGCCTCTGGAGAACAGGGGCGTGGGGTCATCTCAGAATCATTGTTCACTGCCAAGCGAGTGCCACGTGAGAACAGGATGCTGAACCTATCAGATTTTATTAAGGCATCTGAAAGTTTATACCTGGACTCTAGAAGCCTCGTGTCGGAACCATAATGATAGTAATGCCATATCAATAGCAGTCCAGTATTATTCTAGAGTAATGATGATGTCATCCTCCTCAGTATTATTAACCTGCACCTGTTTGTCACTAAGCTACCCAGTAACTTGTCCCATCTTGTCTACTCAAGGCAATATGAGGGCAGTAAATGGCCTGTAAGCACCTCTAGCACTGTGTTTAGGAAGAGAGGTGCATCCGCATCCTGCACGGCCTCGGCAGCAGCTCACTGTGCGGTACATAGAGGTACAGCAGACCTGTTGAATGGCAGTGGAAGCCAGGCAACATGGAGGGTGAAATGCAGTTATAGGACAAAAGGCAGCCTTGAAAGGCAGCCCTGAATTCAGGCTTTACCTTGCCAACTAAGTGACATGGCACAAGGGACTTCTTTTCTTCAAGCTTCTGTTTCTCTGTGGGGAAGACAAAGATTCATTTACTCATTCAGCCATTCCACAAGGACTCTTTGTGGCTGCCGTTTATCAGATGTGCTCTTAGGTTGTGAGGACGCAGAGGGGTCCAAGCCTGCGGGTTCCTGTTCTGATAGTCCTTGAAGTTCAGGGGAAGAAGCAAAATGATGAAGAGATGCAGAGTTAGTCCTGCTGCTGAGCACTGTAAAGAGCATAAGGCAGGGCCTGTGACTGCATGGCCGAGGGGGACATCCCAAGGAAGGTGACAAGGGAGGCTCCTGAGGCTGTGGAATTTGAGCTGAGCCTGACCCGAAATGGGACAGTTGTATCCCTCCCAGGGGCGTTGACAAAAGTGGAGAGACACGGAGTACCTGGTACCTTCTAAATGCTGCCTAGGTGATTTTGTCCTTGTTATTTCTGTCCTTTCCTTTCTGGCATGTGGCCAGCTAGGTGTGTGTTTGTTAGGTGTTGGAGCAATACAGGTGATCTGTACCTACCACCTTTCACCAGCCTGTTGGGTGGCCGCCGCTCACTCCCCTTGACTACTGTTGGTGCAGGTGGTGTGAGATGAGTGTGTGACCCAAGCTGCTGGTGTGCTCTGGCCAAGGTGGGTCGGAAGATTTCAGAAGGGAGGCACCTGGAGCTGGATGTTGATGAGAAGTTACCACGTGTTCAGTGCGAGTAGAGTGGGTCGTGTGGAGCTCTCATTGCGTAACTGTGATACTGAGAATTTGATTTGTAGGCAGTACAGAGCTGTTGGTAGCTTTGACACATGGAGTAACATGGCTGCTAACAAGTCAAATTCCTTACAGTTGGCCCTCTCAGTCTGTGCATTTTATATCAATGGATTGAAAATACTCAGAAAACCAAAGCAGAGCAAAAGTGTACGAGCATGCACGGTCTTTCTTTTCTTGTTATTCCTTAAACAACACAACATAGACTTTGCATAGCATTTACAGTGTATTAGGTATTATAAATAGCCTAAAATGATTTAAAATATATAAGAGATTCACAGGATATATGCAGATATTACACAGCATTAAAGACTGAGTATCCTTGGAGTTTGGTGTCTGGTTGTGTGTATGTGTGTGGAGAGAGGTCCTAGAAGCAATGCTGTGGATGCTGAGGCAGGTCATGCTGTAGGAATGGGTTGGCTGGCGTAAAGGATGTGTGGTCCTAGCTTCTCTATCAGACTGTGTGGGAATTCTCACATGAGCCTGGGAGGTCAGTTCATTCTGGCTAGAAGTTGAGGCGGATGTCTCGGAGGGTTCTGGGAAAGGGAACCAGGTGAGTGTGGAGGGTCCAGCTGTGCAGATGGAAACTGAGAGGGAATTTGGACAACGAGGGCCTTTGAGAAAGCTCAGACCTACTTTGACTTTCCCCTCTCTTCATGTCAGGTAGCTAATCCAGATGGTGACTTCCGGCTCACAATCGTCAATTCCTCTGTGCTCGATCGGCCCAGGGCCCTGGTCCTTGTGCCCCAAGAAGGGTAAGTGTATCCCCCAAGGGAAAGCAGCCTTGTGTCCACTGTTGCAATAAGAGATTCTCATGGAAATGCAAACCTCTGGGCAAAACCTCTGCTTTTCATGAATTTGGTGGAAATAGTCCGTTACCCAAAAGCTTTAGAACATCAGGCATCACTGCGGTCCAGTAGCTCCGTTCGCTTCTCATCAGCACGCCTGAGGCACCCCAGGCACCCGGATGTCCTGCGTCTGTGGGGTGTTTCTCTAGGAAAGGTAATATCAAAAGAGAGTCTCTGTAGACTACACAAGGCTGCTTATATACCGTGGGGACGGTTTATCTTGAGTTTCATGTGTGGCACCAACATTTAACTCAGCCCATCTTTCCCTACTACCTCCCCCAGGGCATGTGGCCATTCTGTCTCAAAATTAGTGCGTGCTTGGGGAGTGCAAAGGTGCTTTTTGTTCACTCTGTATCTGAAGGAAACAACTAACGTGGAAATTCTATAGTTTTTCTTGCTTTTCCTCCGTCATAGCCCCTGTGGTTGAAAAATAGCACTTAGTCTTGACTGACTGATTGATTGATTGATTGATTGATTGATTGATACAGGGTCTTACTGTACAGTTTGGACTTGTAGTGATCCTCCTGTCTCAGCCTCACTGCCACTGGGATTACAGGCATGTGCCACCACTCCCAGTAGCCCTCAGTTTCAAAAAGAAAATTCTAGAAGCAATCTATGTACTGATTGCAAATATTAAAAGAAAGAAATTTATGAAATGAACAATATTTGTTTCTTCTGTCCCTGTTCTTCCCTCCTTACTGTCACACATCCTGGGCTAGTCATTGCTAATACTTTCTTGGGTCACAATTATTTTTTACCTGCAGACAAACATTATCTGTAAAACATATCCCCTAAAACAATCTAAGATGATAAATAGATAAATAAATAAAATATGTCCCCTACACCTAGATGGACATGCCTGTACCAAATAGAATCAAAGGGCAGTTACTACTTTGTACCTTTTAAGTTTTCTCTCTCTCTCTTGCTCTCTCTCTCTTGCTCTCTCTCTCTCTCTCTGATGTATAGATTTATCTGTATGTATAATAGTTTCATGTAAACACATACAAGATTTTAGCTGTATATACTATGATTTTATCATTTATTGCTTTCCTCTACTGAGGGCATTGTGATTAATATATACATATATACACATTTTATACATTATCTTCGTATAATTTGATTATAAATAAATCACAGGAAAGGGATTTATTGGTCAAGTGGTTCAGTGGCTTTAGGTACTGCCGTCCTGGATGATTATGACGATGATGTTCTAGGGACGCTTCTCCCTTCGTTGGAGTGGTGCTTGGCTCCCATGCCTCTCATTCGGATGAGATGCGTTTCCTTTCCTATTTTGACCAGGGTGATGTTCTGGACTGACTGGGGAGACCTGAAGCCTGGAATTTATCGGAGCAGTATGGATGGTTCTTCTGTGCATCGTCTTGTGTCAGAGGATGTGAAGTGGCCCAATGGCATTGCAGTGGATGACCAGTGGATCTACTGGACAGACGCCTACCTGGACTGCATCGAGCGCATCACCTTCAGTGGGCAGCAGCGCTCAGTCATTCTGGATAACCTTCCCCACCCCTATGCCATTGCTGTCTTTAAGGTGTGTCCTCATTTGTCTCCCTGGTGGGCATTCCGCAGAGGAGGTCAAGAATTTGCCAAGGTCCAGAGCCAGGAGCTTTTGGATTTTTGCAAAGATACTATCAGACTCCTAGGAAACTGGCTCTTTTCTAAATTTGAGGCAACTTGTCGAAGCTCTTAAGGACAGGAGGCCAAAGATGCCAGAAGGTCTGGCCTCCAGACCTCTAACATTTCAGAAGGTTGAGAGCTAAGATTATTTCTCTTACGTGTTCTGGATTTGCCCTTCAGTACTGTAGCTTCATTTTGGTTCTGAGTCCTCACCTTCTATGAGGTTTCCTCATTTGATTCCTTGCTTACTGAGGAGGGGTTGCGTATCACCTATGTTGTCTGTCAGGTCTGTTTGTTTTCTAAAATCCACTCACCAACATTGGGAAACAGATTTCAAACTGAGGATCTTAGCTGTAGTCAAAGTTCAGTCCTCACCAGGTAGTTTTTGGCGGGCAGTTCCATCTGTGTGAATAGTTGGTGATGTTGGAGTAAAACTTACTGATTCTTACATATGCGAGGAGTCTTACACCAGTGTTCAGCGAGTGGGTGTTAGTTGTCTCCTGTATGGGGCAGCTCTTGTCTTTACAGCGGGTCCATAATGAAGCACAGAAGAGCTGGCCTGATAGGCAAAGATTTTCTTTTTCAGAATGAAATCTACTGGGATGACTGGTCCCAGCTCAGCATATTCCGAGCTTCCAAATACAGCGGGTCCCAGATGGAGATTTTGGCCAGCCAGCTCACAGGGCTGATGGACCTGAAGATTTTCTACAAGGGGAAAAACACTGGTAAGACAGAGTCTCCTCCTCCACCTCCCCAGACTCGGTCTTGGGCAAGGGGCTGCATGTGGGCAATCTCCACTCTGAGCAGGATCCGGCAGCCTGTGTCTGTGTTGTCACAACAACGTGCACATTATTTAATTTCTTCCTAATGATATCTTAATTTCTTTTCTAATGATACACAAACAGCTGGAAGACAGCATGTTTTTGTCTGCCGAGAGTGTTGGTGCTTGGTGGGTAATTACAGCCTCCTCCTGCCCTTGGCCCCTCGCTGATTGGTGGTGTGGCTTCGGCTGCAGCTGGGAGAGGCCCAGCATGTGTCTAATCCCTGCTTGGCACATGAACAGGGAGTCACGCTGTGCTCTGGGCCGGGTGCTCACGCTGTTCTGTGCCCACCAAGCATACCCACCTCTGTTATGACGCTGGGTATAGTTGGACATTGCTTTCTTTCATGTTTCCTGCCCTGAACCTGTAAACCTCATGAAGGAAAGATTAGGCCTTTTTTTGTTTGTTTGTTTCTCAACAGTTTTACCAGTTCCTAGCCTTATGTAGGTGCTTGGTTGGTATTTGTTGAAGGAAGAGGATGAAAAGAGGGGGAAGGGCTGCGCTGGATGTGCTGTTTGCCTTCTGAAGACCTGTTAGAGGTGGAGGCTTCACGCACCATAGGAGGCTTTGACCTGTGACCTGGAAGGTGCACCTGTTCAGCTGAAGCCCCCTGCCTCCCTTGACTCTTGTGTCTCTCCACCCAGCCTGGGAGTTCTGGAGGGGAAAACCCAGGGCACTCCCAAGAAAAATAGTCCCTTTAAGAATTGCCATCCTTATCACCACAGGATTAAATAGCACGGTGGGTCTGCTGACTCCCCTTTATTGACAGCCTGTGGTTTCTCATTGTGAGCTAGAATGTTGATACTGTTTTGCTAGCTCTTGGTTTACCCTGTACTAACAGATAAATGACAAGGAAAATAATAGGGTTATAGATAACATTGTTATCCCCCTGGGGCTGAGGAAAGTGGCCTGAGAACTCCCCTGGAAGACGATAAAGGGTCCTGCCAATGTAGATTTGTCTTGCTGTTAAGCTTTCCCCACTAACCTGTCAGGGGAAGGATTGGTATTATGATTCATGGTTTGCAGATTAGGGAGAGACATCTTAGATATTAATTAGCTTTCTTGAAAGTTCTCACTAGCATGGGGACTGAGCTCTGGTTGCAGTCTTGGAGATGTCTCAATCTCTTTTTTTTTTTTCCTGTACCGGGGATTGAACTCAGGACCCTGTGCTTGCCAGGCAAGCGCTTATTCTACTGAGCCATCTCCTTGACCCTAGATATCTCATTCTTTTGAGAGAAAATACATGTCTTAAAACAGGGAGTGAGGAAGGAGTCTTGCTGCTCAGTTCCAGCAGCTGAAATCTCTGGGCCTCCATTTGATGGAGGCCTCACTCCTCCCAGTACCTTATGGAGCGCGTTGCCAGCATTCCTCTGAGTTGAACCCGATTCTGTTTTACAAGTGTGTGCAAGTACATGTTGGATGTGCACACAGCAGTTTCTGTTGGGTATACAGCAGTTTCTAGGCTCCCCACTCCTGTTTTGGATCACACTTGACCCCAACGGCTCAAACATAGCTAAGCTATGTGTGTGTGGTCTCGTGGTTTAGAACAGACAGGCCCATGCTTCTCAGTGTATTTCTCTTTTAGACCTCAAAGAGTCACCATTTAAATCAGCCAGAGTAATTCTAGGGATCAGGGTAGCATCTAGATTGAGTAAAGCCTGGCTTGAAAGAGTGATGTAGGACCAGCCAAGATAGCTCAGTGGACTGAAGAACCTGCTTAGGCAAGTGCTAGGGGACTGGGGTTCAATCCCCATGCTGTGCCAGCCCCACTCCCAGGGTGCACTGAGTCTGGGACTGAGACTGGGCGTGGTGGTGTGCACCTGTAATTCCAGTGCTTGGGAGGTTGAAAACAGGAGGATCACTATGAGTCTGATTTGTTCAGTGAGATCCTATAGACCCTCTACTAAATACATTTAAAAAAAAAAGAGTGATGTGTATTATTGGGTGAGGTACAGACTCTGGAATGTGCAGTATCAGTTGTAACTATCCCTTTGTCCCAGGGCCAGTTACTGAGTTTCTGCTCCTGTCTCTCTTGCTATTCATTGGTTGTGGGCAAGACACTTCCAGGTGTCCCCTTACCTATAGATACAAGTAGAGAGAAACAAGCACACAGTGTCTCAGGCCACCTTGAGTTAAATCAGAACTTTAGCAGTTGCCTCTGGCTGCCAATGCCGCCTGTGTACTCTGCCTACCTCTTGGTCTCCAGCTTGTTTGCTTTAACCTGCCTGCCTTGTTAGCACACTGAGAGGGTATTGCAAGTTCTCAATATATAACAGCAACTGCTGATGCCAGCCCATCTGTATTATTTTTGTTTTCTGCTCCAAATACATATAGGACAATGATAAGGACATTTATTAAGGGGCCCTTTCATCCTCAACACACTGTGCTCTGGAGCGTGGGTAATCTCCTTAGTCTTCTCTAAATTAATGTGTACTATGAATATTCCCATTTTATAGATCAGAACATTAAAAATTGGGTTCAGTAATTTGTCTGGGTCATACACTTACTAGGTGGTAAGAGTTCAAGCCATGAGCTACTTGACCTGAGGGAACCTCAGTGAGCCCATCAGACTGTGCTCCATCTGCCTTTGTTGTTGAAATGGCAGCACCCTGGTAACATGGCAGTAATTTAGCACAATACATTTCAATTAATTCTGGTTTGTGCTAAAAATTATGCTGTCTTCTGGGCATGGTGGCACACACCTGTAATCCCAGCGCTTGGGAGGCTGTAAAGAGAAGGATTACTACAAGCCCGATCTGTGTAGTGACCCTGTAGACCCTGTACTAAATACATTCAAAAAATTATGCTATCTTGGAATATTTATTAATTGAGGCTATTTGGTTATAAGTGGGTGCATTTTTTGTCTTGATATCTGGTTGGTTTTTAAGTAGCGTCATTGGAATTTACTTTTCACGAAGAGGTTTTTCTTTCAAAAAGATTATTTGCAAGATTATTGATGTAGCCAGTCAATGCTGCAATGTTTTAAACTATTTTATAGTTCTTGTAAATTCTTGAGAGCCTGCATTAACTATAGTTTTACACATTTATAATGAGGGCAAATAGTCATTACTTGGAGGTAGATATTATTTTGATAATTATCAAGTGCAGGGATATTTCAGTGAGATAATAATATTTGTGATTCCTAAACTGACTCTGGAGGAATTTTTCAAAGAGGACATCTGAAAATGTTCTGAATGTGCTCCATGAAGATGTCCTTGGGCTGTTTGGTCTTCTAAGGGGGCATCTTTGAAGATGATTGTTCGTATTGTTTCATTCTCCACATGGTGATGTTGGTCTTCATCCTGTAAACCTGCCCACATAGGACAGTGGCCTCCTGAAGGGTCTGTGGTCATGGTGGGAACTCTGCCACTTTCTCCTTCTGTCGCCCACTAGGTACCACCTGGGGTAGCACTGTTCTCTCACTTTGTCCCTAGCTGGATGCTCCTGGCCTGCTACCTGGTGCAGTTGAGACCTGAAGGTTGCTGTGGGATGCTGCTGCTTAGACTACCATTTCTTCCATCTTTGCTTAGATCTTTCTCATGAGCTAGAGCACATTTTGAGTTTTGTACTCTTTGCTCTTGGTTGGGAGGGAACAGCTACTGTGCCCATTAATTTACATACTTAATCCATGGGAAAATACCATCCTGTAATTGAATATGCTTCAATAACAAGTTCTGTTATTGTTCATTTTCTTAGAACACTGAGGTGTATGCTCTCTGCTGAATACAGAGAACGTGTAGCAAATCCACTGAGTTGTTTTTCAGTAGTGGTGGCTCTGTGTCAATTCCACATCCCCTCTGGGGTCAGAGGCCTATAGATTTAGCTAAAGAAGCAGTCCGTGTACACAGACTACCAGGGAACATTGGTTAAAGGCGTCTTCTGATCAGCTGATTAGTTTTCTGTGGTAATTATGCTGTTACAGTTGATTAAGCTATTTGCTGAGCCTTTTTGAGTATTTCATCCTATGGATTTCTCTCCCTGGATGTGTATATTTTATCTATTTAGCAATGATACTAGTCTTTTCTTTAGTGTCAAAGTGACATTGCAGCTAAATCCTTATGGTTTAAAAAATTTATAATGCAACTTAAAACTCAAGAGATGCCAGCCCATCCGAAGCTGTTGTGTGTATTGTCACCTGCATCAGCACTGGTTGTCATTAAGGAAGCCTGTTTTCCAACCTGTGGATCAAGATAGCTTAGCTGAGATTTTGGCTGGGTGAACACAGACTATAGTACCAGAATATCTGATGGTGGAATTGTCTATGAGACAGCTCAAGAAAAGAGTCGACGTTGTATTTTATCAAAGATTTTAATGTCAGGGCTGGGGAGATGGCTCAGTGGAATAAGCGCTTCCCTGGCAAGTGCAAGGACCTGAGTTCAATCCCTGGTTCTTCAAAAGAAAAAAAAGATTTTAATGTCTATTAAATGCTCCAGGTAAAAGAAAGCAACATAGCATTTATAAGTTTGGCTTTTGTGTTCCTTACCAGTTATACAAAATAGGTTATACATCCTCCACCCATCCCCCTGAAGATATGGGGGGACAGAAAAATACTTCCGCCATTTTTGCTCACCCACTCAGCTCTCTCAAAAGTGCAGTGACCAATGCTTTGGACATTGTGTGACACTCTCTTTGCTAAGCTGACCCAGAGAGAAGACTGAAAATAGTGGGCTTGATCGACATTAACCAGGTGTTCTGTGGATTTGTTGCATGATAGTGGGTGATGAGTACTATGGTTGCTTCCCTAACTGCTCCACATCAAGAAAGTAAGAAGGGGGCTGGGGAGGTAGCTCAGCGGTCTAAGCACCTACCTGGCAAATGCAAGGACTCGGGTTTGATCCCTAGTAACATGCTGTGCCGGCCACCAAAATTGGGCATGGTGGTGCAGACCTATAATCTCTGTGCTGGGGAAGCTGAGACAGGAGGATCACTGTGAGTCCAAGGGGCATAGCAAGACCCAATACCAAAGAAATTAATTAATTAAAGATTTCAAAAAAATTAATAAAAAAGCAGAAAGTAGAAAGAGGAGCCCTGGATTTTTATCTAGGCCCCAGCGTATCCTCTGAAGGAAGGCTTTTGTGTGTTAAAGAGCAAAACTTACTCCAGCTAGTTCAAGTGATGAGAAGGATCATTAAGTGAAGCAAGGGAGCCAGTGAGGAGCCCAGACATGGGAGTTCTACGTGGATCTTATGTGGACTGTGGCTGGGAATGGCAAAGCCATCAGTGTTCTATCTGGAGCCCTCCTAGGATCCTCTTAATCACCTACCCCGTGTCCTAACTCTCTTCACACCAACAGTGGGTATGTCTTGGTGCAGCTGGGACTTGAGCCAGGTCTTAGCTTCTGCTTGGCACACACACTCTGTCGGTCTTCTCCAAGCTCCGCCTCCCGGGTTGTGTTCTGAGTCTTCAGCAAGGGGGAGCCGGGGATCTGCTGCCTGGTTTGGCTTCAGAGAGGTTGGATGGAGTGAGATAGGGAGATACGTCTTTGGGGAAAGCAGAGCTGTGGAGGTCAGTTCTGCTGAGGGATCTGGGCAAAGGCGCTCAGCACAGAAGGTGTCTCTGGGCTGGCCACAGCACCTTCCTAAGCTCCTCAATATGGTTAGTGTCTGCAAGATGAGACCATGGCTGGAGGACTCCTTCTGCTCGGTGATTCTCGCGTGTGTATTAACCACAGCACTGTGGTTGTCCCCTCTCCAGGAAGCAATGCCTGTGTGCCCAACCCATGCAGCCTTCTCTGCCTGCCCAAAGCCAACAACAGCAAAAGCTGCAGGTGTCCAGAGGGTGTGGCCAGCAGTATCCTCCCTTCTGGGGACCTATTGTGTGACTGTCCTCAGGGCTACCAGCTGAAGAACAATACCTGTGTCAAAGAAGGTGAGTCCCTTTTGGTTGTTGCCCTTGTTCTCTTTCCCTTTTTGCCACCTTCCATGGCTCCAGCTTCCCTTTGTGATATTGGAGGAAGTTCCAGGTGAAAATGAAAGTCCCTGGATACCCGGAGGATCCTGGTTTGGGGCTAGGGTCTGTGGCCCTTCAGTGCTCATTCAGAAGAGGCCCAAGCTGTAGAGGTCCCAGCCGTGTCTTTGGGTTTAATGTCAGCTGACACAGCCATCACTGTGGCTTCCCCTCTCACACACATCTAGGTTCTGCAGCTTGTATTTCTTGTAAGTTGAACCAACTTACCTTGAAAAGTGTATCTGACTTGACTTTATCAGGGGAAACTGCCGCCACCCATCAGCCATCTCTCCATCACCTCCAGCTCCAAAGGGCTGAACATTCAGCCTTGTATTAAATAAAAGTCTGAAAGTCTTGGCTTCCAAGCTATGGCCATACAGCCTTACTCCCTCCTTACTTGAAGTTTGAATACGTGGGTTTAAAATCTTTTCCTTTGAGATGGCTTAATTTTTTTCTCCTTCTCACCATTACTACTGTCTCCATCCTTAACCTCATTTTTCTGTCCTATGCTGAACCCCTAAGGGAAGCTTTGCCACCGAGCACCTGGAGTGATGGCCGGAATTCCTGCGTGGCCTTAGGTGCCAAGTTCTATTTTCTTTGTAATCCTAACCTTGCTTCTCACAGCAGCCTTGGAGGCTGGGCCAGGCAGGCACACAATGGAAGGCTTGTAGTCCGTCTCCCTTAAGAAATACAATGAAAAGAAGATGGACCATCCTTCCTCAGAAACAGGAGACATTTAGACTCTGGATGTCATCTTAAAACCATTTGGAAAGAGATGAGAGTCAACACTAAATTCCATGAGGAGGGCAAATGATCCCCTGTTTTCCCCACTAGAATGATGCTGATTATCCAGACAGGGTAGTCATCCTGTGCCCTTGGTCTGGCTTATCAAACAATGCATTTTTCCTGTGTGATTCTTGTTTTAAAGAAGTAATGGAAGGCTGGAGAGATAGCTCAGTAGAATGAACACCTGCCTGGCAAGTACAAGGTCCTGAGTTCAATCCCTGGTACCAGGAAAAAAAAAGTAATGGAGGGCTGGCAAGATAGCTCAGTGGATTAATCACGTCTTAATTCTCCTTCCAACATGCTTTTGCTCCCAAGGTCCGGGAGGAAAGCAGGAGGAAGCTGTTTTCTTCCTTTCATGCCTGTGTGCTTGGTAGCCCTCCCATCCTACCACCCAAGGCCCGTTGTTATGTGAAGAATGGAAATGGAAACTCAGAGAGTGCTGTGGTCCAGCAGGAAGAATAATACTAATTTTGTTTCCTCGCCATTTAGAGAACACCTGTCTTCGCAACCAGTATCGCTGCAGCAATGGGAACTGTATAAACAGCATTTGGTTGTGCGACTTTGACAATGACTGTGGGGACATGAGCGATGAGAGGAACTGCCGTGAGTCTTCTGGCTAAGTCTTACTCGGGAGGCTGGTCAGCTCCTCCATCGGGGGTGGCTTGGCTAACAGAGACAGCAGGTCCCACATGCATGTACACTGAATAAGCTCCTCCATGCACACACATGTATTTAATCAGTACGCTGACTACTCATTGCAAGAGACTTATTATAAAGGTCCATGGTGCGGCTGACACTGGGCTGATTGACAGTCAGGGCTCTGACCTTAGTTTTGTTCCTGTAAGAAAACTGCTAACATGGTATGGACGACGAGGTGACATTCTTTGATTCATAAACTTAATGTTCAGCCTTCCTAGAGATAGGCAACAGGTGTCACCTTTGTGCTGTGCCAGTTAGGTGAGGTCAGCTGTCTGCCAGGCTTCTACAAGATTGTTATAACTAATTGGTGACTGGTGGTAAAAAGTTTGGCCTGGCACATGGGGATCTTGGCAGGTGTCCTATGTAAACGTCATCTTTATATTGAATAGTTTCTAAGGTCCGAGTAAAGGATTTGACTTTGCTTTGCAGGATTTAAAGAAAACAGAGAGAAAAGTATTTAAGTGGATGATTACTCTATTAACTACAGATCTTAATAGCTTTGACCTCATCTTATCAAGCAAATGCTTTGCCCTCTGTCAGTTGTTTGTCCACCCAATGTGTGTTTATTGAGCACCCTCTCTTCCTAGCTCTGTCCTGGTGATCAAGATGGTCTCAGGAGTTTACAGTCTGAAGGACAAGTTTTAAAGATTAAGCAGTAGTTACAGCAAACAAGGAGTGCGTGGGCTGGCGAGATGACTCAGTGGACTAAGTGCCTGCTTAGGCAAGCACAGGGCCTAGGGCTTGATTCCGACACCACATGCACTGCTGGCCCCACCCCCAGGTGTGCTGAGCTGCCACAGAGACCAGGGGTGGGGGCACATGTGTATAATCCTGGTGGTGGGGAGTCTGCGAAAAGGAGGATCATTATGAGCCTGAGCTACACAGTGAGACCCTGTACCAGATACATACAAACAAACAAACAAACACAATTGATAGCTGTGATGGGAAAGCACCCTATGATACAGGAGGATACCTTAATCAACAGCCCTGAAGGGAGTGGTGGGTGCACCAAGCAGAGGTGAAGGGAAGAAAGCCCGGGGCCAGGGTGTGGTTTTGTGAAGGGCAGAAGTCCACAGATCAGGACTTGTGAGATTGATGAGAGTTGGTCCTAGTGGGCCCAGTGAGTAGGCAGAGCCCAGCTCTGCAGGGGCCTTTGGACTGTTGGAAGAGCAATTGGCAACCGTTGAACTAACATGATAAGATTTTGCATTTGGAGGGAAGAGCTGTGGGTAGAATGAACTGAAGAGAGAGAGAGAGAGAGAGAGAGAGAGAGAGAGAGAGAATAAGCAGGAGAGCAGGGAGCCGAGGGAGGACCCTTTTTTAGGGATGTTGCCTTTCCTTTCCTAACCCAGAGACCCATTTACCAGTGGTACCATAAGGACAGGTGAGGGGGCAGCTCTGCATACCTCCCTGGTACCTGGCAGGCGGATGCAGACAGGCATCCTGGAGCAGGGCCAGGTCCTACACCGTCACCCAGAATTATCAGCTGTGGAGACATGCAAGTCACCACCAGGCTGATCTGGGCTCCACAGGGCTGCATGCTGCTCCTTTTGGTTGGCAGGAGGTTGTGTATAAGACTTACTGTCTTTCCTTGGCTTCAGCGATGTCTCTTGTACCCAGGAAAAAGTATTCATTTAGTGGCAAGTTTGGAAGGCATAAGCTTCTCCATGTCTGTGGCAGATAAAAATACAGCCGTCTCTGCCTATCAGGGACATGGGAAGGTGTGATATTTGTGAGGGATTAGCCAGGGCTCCTCAAAAACATTAATACATAATATTAACAGCACAAGGAAGGCACTGGAATAGCATTTATTACAAATCAGGGTGGTGCAAGGGAACCTTCTTAGAGTTTACATGTGAGAAAAGTGGCCTAAACATATTTAGTCATGCTAGAAACAGAGCTACATACTAGATGTCCAGTACTTAGGGCTGCAGGGTCGCTCGCTGTCTTTTCTCTGTTCCTGGGCTGTGTCCAGTAGAGAGGCCAACTGGATCGCCTATCGGTTCTGGGTTGTGACTTCTATCTTCATGCTGCCCTCAGCGAGCTCCACCCCTTTCCTCACCTCAGATCTGGGCTTGACATCGCTGCTTCCTGTGGCTTCCACTGTGGCCCAGGGAGGTAATACAGAGCTGGCTTGCTTCCTCCTGGTGTAGTGTCAGTGTCACGGGACTGGTTTTGCTGAAACCCCCGAGACTTGCTTTCTCCTCTGTGTTCTCCCATTTTCACTTGGCTTACAGGCCCACCCAACTGATGAGGAGAGAAGCTATGTTTTGGGAACAAAGCTGAGGGGTGTGGGAAAGCCTTCCCATCGTCTCCCTTTCTTGGAAAGTGTGTGCTTATCCAGACACCGTGAGGCACCCTTGTCCATAGGCAGGCGGCACGACAGGGACAAACACCATGGGAGTTCAGCTGCCAGGGAAGAGCTGAGGAGGGCTGAGGGGGGTGGTGCAGGAGCGATGTTGTCAATCGAGTTCCCTTCCTCTTAAACAAACTCCTCCAGCTGGGTGGATGTCAGGCATGAGAGTTTTGACGTGAATCCCCTGCAGTCTTGTCATTTCTCATTCATCCCCTGCCTCCCACCATGAGCTCAATTACAGAGAAGAAATGGAACCTCAAATAAGAGCTACTGGATGTCTAATAGTGTTGACGTTCCGCGTTTCCTTGCACGGCACACCCCCTCCTCCATCCCGGGATTCTGTTCTGCTGTCCCCTCCACTTCTCCGGAGAACAGCCTTCCTGTCCCATCTCTCTCTTACAGGGTCCATCCTTCCTCTCATCCAAAGGCTTGTGCCCAAGCTCAGGAGCCTCCTATTTAGCAGAGGGAGAAAATCCAATTGTGTACTCATTGTCATGCCAGAAGGGCATGAAACATGACGAGGAAGAGAAGTGGCATTCGTTTAAAGCCCATTATTGTTATATATCCTGTTCAATAGGCTGTGATCCCAAGCTTGTTTTCATTTCTTTTTTTCTTTTTTAATTTTTTACATTTATTTATTTAGTGTGTGTGTGTGCGTGTGTGTGTGTGTATGTGGCCAGCTCAGCCCACCTGGGGGCGGGGCTGGCTGGCATGTGGTGCTGGTGGATCGAACCATGGTCCCTGTGCTTTGCCAACTTGTTCCAAGTAGGTGCTTTAGACCACTGAGCCATCTCTCCAGCCCCCCCCCCCAAGCTTGTTTTCTTCCTGGTTTGCATCATAATGCTCCCAATGTAGTTAATGTCTGCATTCTGTTATGGAAGGAATAAAGAAATCCGAGAGGGCTAGGTTGAATAAATGGTGGGTGGCAGCATAAACTCCAAGTTTAGTGTTTCTGACTGTAGTCACAGGTGCATGGTCACATTACCTTACCTTTATTTTATTTTACTGTTGAGGAAACTGAAGCTCAGGGAGGTTAAAACTGATCACCCCAGAAAGAGGTATAGACTGAATTTGATACCCAGCCTTGGCTGACTACAGACAGAACCCAGGTTTCTGCTACAGAATTCTACCCCAGCATTACCTTTTGTACCTGTATGTACGGTGAGGTGGGTGGCAGCTTGCTGTGTGGAACTAGACTTCCCCAGGGGTAGTTTTGTAGCTGAAGGTGCTTCTGTCACCTATGTAGGAAGATACCATCATGTCGTAGGCCTTCAGTTCTGAAGGGGTAGTAGGAGGCAGTCTGGTCCCTCACAATTTCTCACAGCCAAAGGACAGTTTCTTTCTGTTCCAGGCCCTGTTGTTCTCTGAAGCTGTCCTTTATTTCCCTTGGTTATTAATTTCACATTCTCAGGGAATTTATTTTTTCTGTTAAGTGTAGGTCCTATTTCTGTTGTTATACTTAAAATCTGCTTCTTTCTATTTTCGTTTTGTTATTGTGTTTTGTGTTACAGGGTCTTGCCATGTAGTGCAGGCTGGCCTTAAACTCATGGCGACCCTCCTTACTTAGTTAGCCTCCTGCCTGCTGGGATTCCAGGCATGCGCCATGACAGCTGGCTTCCTTCTGTGTTTTAATTGGCTTTCCAGTAGAAAGTTGGTGTCTGAGGGGAATGAATTGTACCTAACAAGTGTGTCATCTCTTTCCCATTTTAGCCACCACCATCTGTGATCTGGACACCCAGTTCCGCTGCCAGGAGTCTGGGACTTGCCTCCCTCTCTCCTACAAATGTGACCTGGAGGATGACTGTGGAGACAACAGTGATGAAAGTCACTGTGGTAAGGGCATGTGCTACCCAGAAGCCCACTAGGGGGTGAGGGTGCGGTCACCGTACTTCACTGGGTTACACTGGTGGATGGGGTGGGCAGGAAATGGAGAGTTCTTGTATTCATTTTGGTATCTATGGCCTTCAGCTACAGGGTCATCTCCTTGGCAGCATTGCGTTGTTTTCTTCTTGTGTTGTGACAGAACCGACTTGCTGTTTCTTGTGAAAATTCAATTCTAGAAATATCTGATCCAGAGTGAATGGGACACTGAATGCACAGTCAGGAAAGATAGAGCGTAAACTCAGCTCCTTGTCACTTGTTTGCTCTTTGCCTAGCTTTTGTTTTTTAACATGGAAAAAATGAGGACACAGACCCTGCTTGGTCTTGCAGAGATGCTGTTTGGGTGAAATGGGATGGTGAGGAAGATTTCTGAATGGGTTCAGTGGGTGGGGAGCGGCTCCACAGCCTTGGTCCCCCGCATGGAGTGGGCGTGAGACAAGCTGCCCAAAGGCGCAGATCCGTACCTTTGTGCACTGTTTATTTTTTAAGTCAGCCTCATTCAGTAAACTCTGTTAATAGTCAGCAGACGAAGCGAGCTTTGACTGAGCATCTGTTTTCTGAATGGGAATTTAAAATTTCAGAAAAGTGTGTAACAATGGCAGGGAATTAGGTGTTTTCTAGTGCGGCCCTTTTATCTCCACATTGAGCAAGTGAGGTCCACAGGGGCTAGAAAGCATATTCTAGTCTGTGTCCCAACAGAGTGGGAGGGGACTGAGACTTGTGTGTCCTGTTTTCTGCTCCCAGGCTCTTTCTGGTGCATGCCATTGCCCTGCCAGTTACATGGGCCCTTCGTTTACATCCTCTGGGTCTGCTAACCACGGAAGGAAACACTGGGCAGTACACACAGTGCACCAGATTGGAGAGGCCATAGGCACGGAAGGGAAGTGAGGATGCAGGCCAGATGTCAGTCCAGCCGCGGCGATGAGTCATGTGCCTAGCTGTACCCTCTCCGCTCTGCAGGGTCAGATCCAGCCAGGCTTGCTTTGTTAGGCTCAGGTGGTCTGACTCACAGACACTGAAATGAAGGGGCTGCTCATAAATCACTTTAACACCAGGGAACTAATGGAGTACATTCGGGGCCACTTTCACACATGCAATAACCCTGCTTTGGTGCTGGGAGGAATTTCTCTCTGTTGGTTCTGTAATTCACCCCCCTTGTCCCTGCCTTCACCTCGGCTATTCTCAGCAGGCTGAAGTGAGCCAAGGTCTTGATTAGGAGGGAGGAAGCTCCACGTGGCTCTGTGCTCCAGGGTCACCCAGCCCCTTCAGGCACATGGGCAGCTGCTCAGCAGGCCCCACAGTGTGCCCCACTTCTGCTGGCAGTCCTGAATCCACCCCACAGTCCCACTTAGTCCCTTCTCTGGTGCAGGGCCTCTTCACGCCTCCAGAATTTTTTCCATGTAAGTGTCTACTTCACTGCCAACCTGTCTCTGCTTCGTGCTACTCCTGTTTTCTGAGTCTGTGGAAAATTCCACTTGAATGTTTCGAGTCTCAGTCTGTTGGGGCTGCCTTTGCAAATTGCCTTAGAATGAGTAACTTATTAGCCTTGGGCATTTATTGTTCCCAGTCCTAGAGGCTGGGAAGTCCAAGGTCAGGTCACCACCAGATTCCTATCTGGTGAGTGCCTATTCCTGTAGACCATTCCTCTCTATGCCCTCATGGCGGAAGGGGTTAACAGGTTCTTGTACCTCTTTTGTAAGGTCACCAATCCCATGCTTAATCACCTCCAAAAGGCTTCACCTCTTGAAGTTATTGCACGGTGATTACATTTCTACATATGAATAGTAGGACACAGATCCAGACCGTAGCTTGTTTTAACGATTTCCTTGGACCTAGTGAAGATGTTGTAGTAGTCACACCTTTCTGATCTCAGAGTATGCTGTTTGTGAGAGAGCCTGCATGCTGACATCCAGCGCGGTGCCTGCAGAAGGCCTCAGCTATGCTCCTGCCAACTTGGAACTCAGCTTCCCCTGAGCTTGGGCCTCTCCACAGGAACAGCTCACATGGACTTCTTAACTTGATTTTGCAAACCACACGCCCTGTCTCTAGGAGTCTTCTGTCTCCTTCAAAATGCTATTGTTTGATCTCCGCCATCACTGCTGCCAGATCTGTTCCCCTCAGAGCTCAAAAGATGGTGACATCTGCGGTCTACACCAGCACAAGTACATGAGGCTGCTCCTGCCGAGAGGCAGCCCACTGTATATGGGTCCAAGGGTGTAATACTCCATCACACTTGGTGGAAATTACTGTAGATGACCATATGGCCCCAGTTAAAGGTCTCTCCATACAACTTACAGATCATAAGTGACAAACATCCCCAGTCAAAGTTCTCTCTGTTTGAGCTGTATTCAGGTAACCCATGACATGGGCCTGTCTCCAGCCCGCGGAGCCTTGGTGCCAGGCAGAATTCTGAGCACCTTCATCTTCACACCAGTGTTTATTGTCTCCTCTGCAGAAATGCACCAGTGCCGAAGTGATGAGTACAATTGCAGCTCGGGCATGTGCATCCGCTCCTCCTGGGTGTGTGACGGGGACAACGATTGCAGGGACTGGTCTGACGAAGCCAACTGTTCCGGTCAGTACTTCCTGGATCAGTTACCAGTACCCAGCTGCTCACGTGCTAGCTAGCATACAGCCTGACCTGGCCGTAGACTCTGAAGTCTGAGAATCAGCCTGGGCTTTGGATGTCAGCTGATTAGTGCTTCTTAGAAAGCTGGGATGAGATAAGGAGCTTGTGCCAGAATATAAATGATCAATCTTCTTCCTTTATCAGGAAAGTCTCCGTAAAACAAGTGTTGGTAGAAGGAAGCAGTGTGCTGAGTGGTATGGCTGGTCTTATTCTGGTTCACCCTTCTTAGTCCTCAGTTCTTTGGGACCAACAATAAACTGTTCACACATTGGTCCCTGGTCTGGGATGCTAGTAGTAGGACTGAGCTAGCTCGTATTTTTCAAGAAGCATCAGGGTCTCCTAAACAATCGAGTCAACTGTACTTGTGCCTATTTGAGATAAAATTTCACAAAGAATAAAGTTAGAGGGCTGGTGAGATAGCTCAGTGAACTAAGTGCCTGCTTAGGCAAGCACAGGGACTTCTATCCTCAGCACCACAGGCCACGTCAGCTACACCCTTGGGTGCCCTGTGCTGGCCATTGAGACCGGGCATGGTGGCACATACCTGTAATCCCAGCACTGGGGAGGATGATAACAGGAGAATCACTGTGAGTTTGAGCTGTGTAGTGAGACCCTGTGCCCAATACATAAATTTAAATAAATAAATAAATAAATAAAGTTAGAAACATCACAAATGTGATGGGAATCACAGGTGGTATAAGATAGGGACAATGTTCTAGCTCTTGCTTTAGGCTCACTTGTGCTTGGTATAGTATTTTTAAGACTCAGTGAGTGAGTGGTGGCCACAGACATTATGGTGGGTGGAGTAGGTAGAACTAGGTCTCCCACGTACAGGATGGTGCATATACACGTCCAGCATGGTAGCCATGCGCGTCACACACTGCAGGGCCCTGAGAAAGCTCCCTTGCGTCCTTTCTGATGCAGATTCAGTGTCTGTGCTTCCAGACAATGCTTCCGTGTCAAGGGGTGGCCAGTACAGGTAGGTGGAGGAGGTGCTGTTAGCCCAGGAAGCACGCAAAAGCTGACTGGAAGCTTTGCGTTTAGAAGGATGATTGGTTAATAAATTAGAGGGGTGTTCTTGGGCGTCTCAGCTTGTGACTTGCAGTGCGATGGGACCTCCTGCTGGCGCAGCCACATTAGTCAGTCCTGTGTTTCAGCAGCATGTGCTGGTCTTCCAGGATGAATTACTAACTTTAGTTCTGCGCGTGGGCTTGTCACACACTCCCAGTTTTATCTCTGGCTTTTTTCTGAGATCACTGGGAAAATTTAGAGTTCTTGCCCCTCAGCTGCAGCCTTGTTCCCATGACTGCTTATCTGGGTGTTCTAGAGATGATTCTCTTTCTCATATCAGAATGGCCAGAGGTCTGATGTGAACTCATGGTAATGTGCGATGTGACATTTCATTTCCTGACATGTATGACATTAGCTGTGTACGGTGCCAGAAAGAGTAGGTCGGGCCCGCTGACCTCCTTTGCCATGGTGTGTGTGCTTTCTCGGCTTCCTCTTTTGCTACCTGTGGGCGTCTGCATAGTCCTCCTTCCCTTCCAATTTCCCCTCCCTGGTCTGAGGTTTATCCATTCAGTTTCTTTTCTCTACTCCCTGTTGATATTGTATATATATTCTTAATATTATTCCCCTCTCCTAGATATGCAAGCCCTAAAATTCCACGTTAGTCAATTGACAAGCCCTAAAATTCCTGTCCACAGTTCCAACACCAAAATGCTGAGTAAAATACTGTGTATTTTAAAACACTCAATATTTAGTATGTCAGTTTTACAATTTAAAAATCCTAAAATTAGAATTCAGAGTATGTATCTCAGAGATGAGTGTTTGCCTAGTGTGTATGAGCCCCTGGGTTCTATCATCAGAACCAGTAAACAAACAAAAATTGATCATTCTTACTTTTCTTAATTATCAGACTTACCCTATAAGGATGTAACCATTTGGCAGGGTTTTTGCTTCTTATATCCGGTGGCTTTTTCTATTATTCTCACAGGATGAGTCTGACAGAGATAAGCTCAAGACTTCATTAATGTAACATGTCTTTAACATGTTCCTGCTGGGTTAAAACACTAGTGGTACATGTATGACTGTCCTGTCCCTTGCCACCGATAGGTGATCACAACCACCCAGCAGTGGGAGACATGAATGACGATCCTGTCATGAATGTGTTAAGGCTCAATCTTGAATTGAAGTAAGTCTGAGTTTTCAGGGTTGTAATGATTTTCTATAGTTATTCCATTTCTTTCTGGTTTCTTATGCTGATTGGAATTCTGCTATGAGATTATCTGTTAAAACAAGACCTTTTGCTACAGCTGCCTTTACTCATTGCTGTTGTTCTGCAGTTTTCCTCACCTACATATGTGCAGGTGTTTTTATGTATCCTGAGTAAGTCTTGTTTTCTTTTAAGATCAGATGATTTATGTTTCTCATCGATTCTGGGTTGTAATATCTTATAATTCAGAGATGGCTGTTGGCTCCTTTCTCTGGTTTATTTTAAGTGATTGCTGCTAGCTATTTGTTGGACTTTCTCTTTTATTCATGCTTCCTGTGTTCATTTTTGCTGTCTCTGTAGGCCTCTGCCAGAATCTGAGTTATTTCTTCCCACTTATCTTCTACTTTAACAGTTCTCTTTTTAGCTAAATCAAATCTGCTAATTTATATGTTGAGGTTTTTATTATTATGATTATAGGGGTTTTTTGTATTTTTTTAAGGAAGGGTCTATAGGGTGTTCAGGGTCTCACTACTAGATTGGACTCCTAGTGATCTGCTTGTTTGCAGCCTCCCAAGAGCTGGGATTGCAGGCGTGCGCCACCATGCCCAGTCTCAATTGCTGGCTCAGTGTGCCCTGGGGGCAAGGTCAGCACTGCATGCTGGGGATTGAACCCCCAGCCACTGTGCCTGCTTGCCGGCACTTTAATCTGCTGAGCTATTTGGCTGGCCCTTTTTTTGATTAGTTTCTACATCTTGTTCATCTGCTAACTTTTTTTAAATGTACCTTTTTAAAAATGTTTTTCGTCATGCTTTGTTTTGCGTGTCTACCTTACCATTTCTTTTCTTCATTTGCTTCCTAATCCTCGGGGGTGTGTGAGCAAGGGGGGCAACAGCTTTCCCCGTTGGAAGCCATGATTCATCTGTTTGCTCCACTTATGCTTGACTCATGCTTTTGGTCAGATGTTCCAGGCGGTCCTGGTAAGTCAAGGAAGATCCAGGTCAGAGAGTAAGCCTAGGATATTGGCTTTTGTCAGAAACTGATATTTTATCTCCACATTAAAGCCAATCTCCTTTATCTTCATCATTTTTGTAAAAAAAAAAAAAAAAAAAAAATTAAACATATGTTATTTACCAAGCACTGAAAGTCAGAGCCTAATTAATTTCTCAGGAGATAGAAAATTCCAGAAAAAGAGAATCTAGTCTGCATTCTGATCATGCCTGACCACTTGAGCGTAATTGTGCAAACCATTTAATGTTTCTCATCTCATCTTCTGGGATTGTACCTGGAGATCTCAGGCGCGCCTCCCAGAATTGTCATTTGGAAGCCCCACGAGCACTTTGAAACTGTTTTCAATTGAAAATGAAATGCATAAGCTGAATACTAACAAGTAGATTAGTATGGTAATCAGTTTAGGGGACTTTATATTTTATGAAAGCAAGCAAGAATATGGTGAGGAATTTTATTCTAAAGTTGCCAGAATTGTGACACCAATAAATCAAAAATAGTCCTAGTGGTGGCTGTCACTGGGGCAGAAACTCATGCGGCACACACAATTCATGTATTCTTCTGATCAGAGATGAGAGATGTTTAATGAATTTTAAGTGCTAATGGTTATAAATACTGATCCATCGCAAAGACTTATTTCCATGCTATCAAACTCAGCCTTGGTGTTCAAATAGCTGAGAAGACGCAGTTAATGGATTACACTTGTTTTAAGTGGTTTGAGAAGTCAGATTCATTATATGCCAACCATTACAAAATAATAGCCTCAAAGTAAACCACTTTCCTCAACCCTTGAGCAGCATATTGCCAATTATCTCAGTGGGATAGAAAATTCTAGTTTGCCTTCAACAATCCACTTCTGTTTGTTTTGTTTTGCCTCCTTCTCTTCTGAAGACACCCTGTTCACAGAAACACACAATGAACCTCCCTGTGTTATAGTAGCCCCTTCCTCACTAGTCTCCTGTGCTTTTGCTGTCAATCATTTCAGGTACCTGTCATCAACAACAGCCCAAAAATTTTCCATGGAAAATTCCAAAACTAAGTAATTCATACATCTTAAATGACACTTATGATTCAGATTATTATTTGAGTATTTTATTTTATTATTCTATTTTATTATTTGATGTTGTTAATCTCTTACTGGTGTATGATTAAACCTCATTGTTGGTGTGTCTACACTGGGAAAGTTATAGATAGATAGATAGATAGATAGATAGATAGATAGATAGATAGAGTTAGAGTTCAATAATATTATTAAAAATTAGGCATCCTTAAAACATCTCAATGTTTCCTCATAGGTCAGAGGATTACTGAAGGTTATTTTTTTCTAGTTGTAAACCAGACCAGTTCTGGCTTTTCTTCAACAATGAATGGACACAACAGCTTCTGTTTCAGAGGAGGAAGGGGAAATTTGATACAAAAGGCACTTACAGTGTTGGTTGGGTTTAAGGCAGATATTATACATTTGAATCTTGTTTTTTTTTAAATTCTTTTTTTTATGTATTTAGTACAGGGTCCATAAGGTCTCACTACACAGATTGGACTCATAGTGATTCTCCTGTTTTCAGCCTCCCAAGTGCTGGAATTATGGGTGGGCACCACCATGCCCAGTCTTGTCTCCATCTCAGCATGCCCTGTGGGCAGGGCCAGCACAGCAGGCTGGGGATCAAACCCAATCCCAGCGCTTTAACCCGCTGAGCTATCTGGCCAGCCCCAATCTTGTTTTGTTTTGTTTTGTTTTTGTGGCTGGGGATTGAGCCCAGGATCTTTTGCACACAAGGCAAGATCTCTACCACTGCGCCACATCCCCAGTCCTCGAATGTTGGGTTTTTGACCTCAATTTTACAGTGCTTCTAAATGACTTCAGGTGACCTCAAACCAGGGATGGAAACGAGGTTCACTTCTAACAGTGAGTCTCTGTTTCACTAGCTGTTGCTGCTGCTTCTCGTTCTCCTCCTCTGCCTCCTCCTCCTCTTCCCTTTCTACTACTACTTCTGCTGTTCCGTCTCTTTTTTTTTTTAAATAAATGTGATGAATGCTAGTTATTACTGGTTAGTGGAGTTTCCTCTCATCTGTCCAGAAGACTAGCTTGTTCTAGTTTCTGAGGTCTGTTTTCTTTGAAGCTTTGAATGAATCTTAATGTTCTTGGGGTCTGAAGTTGAAATGGGCTTGTCCTGTTTTGTAGAATGTTATAAATTCATGGACCTTCACACCTTCAGAGATCACGTAGATGTCAGTGTAAGGAAATAGTGTTGAGGCTTCCGGAGAGTGGTTGGACCAGGTGCGGAGCTTTCCCTCCAGAGCACATACTGCCCTTCCTTGTTTCATGGCATCTGAATGATAGGAGGCCTTATGTGGGAGGTTAAAGTAGCAAGGTATAATAATAGTAAAGGCCAAGCTGTGCTATTATATTTGTTGCTTTGTTTTTCCCAGCTTGTTATGCATTTGTGGAAAGGGAACAATACTGAACTCATAGGTGAATTTTGGCATGGCATGCAGGCCTGGGTAGTGACTTTTCTATGGCTGTGTAGAACAGATCCTGGAGTCCCTGCCTGAGGAGGGACCTACTGTCAGCCCCAGGTGCCTGAGTCCTTGCAGGGGTTCCCACAGGTCACACCTTAATCTCTAGGGCACAGTCTCTTCTCTGTCCACCGTTGGTAGTGGATGAGGAGGGAGGAGTGACCGTCTCTCTTCTCTGTTGTCAGCCATCTATCACACCTGTGAGGCCTCCAACTTCCAGTGCCACAATGGGCACTGCATACCCCAGCGGTGGGCATGCGATGGTGACACAGACTGCCAAGATGGTTCTGATGAAGATCCTGTCAGCTGTGGTAAGTGCAGACCCCTCTCTCACTCTGGAGCTTCCTGAGCGGCCGCTGTGCAGGGGGCGGCCACAGCTGGGCCAAGCAATAAAACGCTGGGCGGGCGCCTCCAGCTTCCTCTCACCCGCGCAGCCCACTTTCTTCCTGTGACCTCGTGAGTGGACCATGCAGTCTTCATTCTCTGACCATCAGGTTGCCTCTCCCACAAGCAGGAGTCTGAGATGCCACCACATCACAAAAGCAGTATTCACGGTGCTGTTCAACACCAACTATTCTTCAGGTTTTCTATCCTTATCCCCTTGCCAAACAATTGAGTATTTAATAGGATCATGCTTACTGTCTGCCTATGTTTATATTGCTTAAAGGAAAATCATTAGTACAATTTTGCAGCATATAATGACTACTGCCATGGGGGGGGGAGTTGGTACATGCACATAACACATCTTGCTTCCTTTAGTGTTTCCATACTTTCAAAAGTTGTCTCTGTTTTATGGACGCTGCATATTCAGTGCATATTGCTACCGCCTAGCTTACCTAGTTGATTCCTGTCTGGGCACTTGAATGCTTTTAGTTTTACGTTTTGTGCTCATTCAGCTATCCATGACCTTGGATGTGAAAGCCTGTTTTGCTTTTTGAACATTTCCTGGGACATTGTCTAAATCACTGTTTCATCACTGAGTCATGATGCTCAAAGCCCCCAGCTAAGAGGAGAGGAGGTCCTTGCTGGTTCATGGCTATAGCCCATGTGGTTTGGCTCCGAGGCAGAGGCAGAGCACAAGAAAGCTGCCCATAGCATGGTGGGTCGGAAGCAGGAAGAACACTTGGACCAAGGGAGAGAGGTCCAGCCCTCAGCATCACACTCACAGGGTAGAATGAATGTTTAAGTCTAAGGTGGGGCAGTGACTCTCTGGTTGGAAGAGAGGCTAAACTAGTGTTAGAGCTTCTGATCAGGGTGTCTTGGTTCTAGCTTAATTTCCCTTGGAACTGGTTATGAAATATCAGGTTTTTAAACTTTTTTTTTTAATTGTATGTATTTGGTATGGGGTCTCACTATGCAGGTTGGACCCAATGATCTTCCTGTTCAGCCTCTCCAGGGCTGGGATTACAGGTGTGCACCACCACACCTGGTCTCGTTGGCTGGCTTAACATGCCCCAGGCAGGGCTAGCAGACATGTAAACTGGGGATTGAACTTGGTTCCTTATGCTTGCCAGGAAGGCGCTTAGACCACTGGGCTATCTTCCTGGCCCCCTTTTAAACATTTTTAGGCAAACCTTTTCCAAGCAGACTTGGTGCTAGACTTCCTAAAGAATTAAGGTTGCAAGTGGTTCAGAGATATTTAAAAATCTAGGATTTTATAATGGGAATTCAAGTCCTCGTGCTTTTCTATTCACTGAAAACTTTTCTGTTTTGTTCTAAAAATAGACTTAATTTTTGAACACATAATACATTTACCCAATTCAAACTGGGAAGAGTATAACAACACCCCAGGAGAAGTTGCTCTTCCTGCACGCCCTGTTCTAACCCAGTCCCTGTAAGAAACCATGCTTTAGTGTCTTTTCAGAATATTTGGGCCTATACAGTCATGCAGTGCATGACGACATTTCTGGCAGTGACAGACTCCGTTATGGTGGTGGTCCCACGAGGCTATGGTGGAGCCGAAACTCTTCTGTCACCTAGTAGCATCATAGACTTGTTCATAGTGCAGTGCTTTACTCGACTTTGTGGTGGTAAAACCATGTTACATTGCTAGTTGTGTACCTGTGTAGCACGTGAAATTGCAAACAGAATGTGACAATAATACTCAACCATGTCACTGGCTTACCTGCCTATTATGCAATAGTTTTTGTCGCTATTGGACAGTGCGTCCTTCTAATTCCTAGAAGAAAAGTTAACTCTAATGTATTTTGCTGCGTTACACTGGCAGCAGCCTCCTACACCTGTGTTTACCACATCTCTTGCACGAATCAGAGAGCACACTGAGTGTTCCATCCATGGCAGCTAGGTCTGTGTATGCACATTCTGATGTCGAATGGCAAAACTTTTGACTAATTGTGCATTTCTCAGGGCGTAGCTGTTGTGGTGATGCATAATTCTACGAACAAAATTTAAATATACTGGGCCAGAAAAATAGCACATTAAAGTGGCTGCTTAGGCAGATGCAGGGGCTGAGGGTTTGATTCCTGGGGGCCTGTGGTGCCAGCCCTGTCCCTGGGGCATGCTGAGACTGCAATTGAGACTGGGCATGGTGGCACACACCCATAATCCCAGCTCTTGGGAGGCTGTAAACAGGCGGATCACTATGAGTTGGATTTAGTAGTGAGACCCTGAACACCCTGTAGACCCTTCCCTAAAATATGTATATAAAAAAATTAAATATACTCTGTCTTGTTCTGTTTTACACAAATAACAGTATACTGTGCATCTGACTTTGTACCTTTATATAACTGCATATCTGGGAGAAAATTTTCCATATTGCTCCTTTTCAGTCTCTATGTCCCCATGTAGCATTCTAATGTAGTCATTTATTAAACAGCCCCCTAGTGATAGACATGTAGGTGGTTTTTGATCTGTTACAACTAGCAATGGAATGTTAACACTTGTTCCGAAAATTAAGTAGAGATTTTTATCTTATATTTACATGATTTTTCCATTGTGTTGAACTCATTTCTACATTTGTAATTGTTGGATATATATATATATATATATATATATATATGCAATTTTGCTAGTTATTGCCATATTGCTGTAGGGTTGTATGTGCATAACTCTTGTACTTTGTCATTCTTTGCTATTGTTGGATTCCATTTCAGAGAAGAAGTGCAATGGGCTCCGCTGCCCCAATGGCACATGCATCCCGTCCAGCAAGCACTGCGATGGTCTACGGGATTGCTCTGATGGCTCGGACGAGCAGCACTGTGGTGAGTCCACGCCCCTCACAGGGCCCAGGTGTTGAAGAGTATCTGTGAGAGCAAATCCAGGTGCGGCTGCAGTATCTCTGTTCAGTTTGCTTTTGACCCTTGACTCTGGAGCGCTTGGCTCAGATTTAGGGTCTGCTCAGGTGGGGAGGCAAGCTTTGGGTGGAGGAGTGCAGCTGGAGAAGCGCTGGGGTCGGTGATTGTGGGATTAGTTTGTATGTGACATTCACTTATGTTATGTTGAAAAAGTCAAGAAAGAAGAATTTGAAGAAAAAACAAATTAATTATGTTTGATTGTTATAGGTGATCCAAAGTTGGAACATTAGGTGTTGAAGGATTGCTAAAAGTCAGTCATTTCTTTTCAGTTGTCGTGACTGAGGAAACATTTATGTAGCAGATGACCTTTTTTGGCCCCAAGTTTCTTTAAATTATCTTGGATTAGTGGTGCTCATCCTTGAGCATACATTGGCCTCACCTGCAGCGCCCAATCCGACATCAGTCACAAACATTCTGGGTTGATTAGAGTGTGGCTTGGGCCCTGGTTTTCTTTTTTCTTTTTTCTTTTTTTTGTTTTGTTTTGTTTTTAATAGTGTTCTAGGTATTTTTCAGAGTGAACTGGCAGGGTGGGGACTCACAGCAAGCTGAGGTCACAGGTCAGATCGAAGGCTCTTGGCAGAAACCACGGAGGGAAACGACTGTAACTCACCATTGAAGGCTGCATTTCTGTGGTGTGTTCCCAGGGCCTTTCCTCCTTGTTTACATACCTGGTATCTCTCCTTACGACACCAATCCTGTTGGATTAGGACCTGACTCTTATGACTTCATTTGCCCTGATGACATCCTTTAATGGTCCTCTCCCCAAGTACAGTCACACTGGTGGTGGTGATGCTGGTGGGGGAGTTGAATGTCAACCTAAGAATTCTGGGGAGAAAGGGTAGGCTAGGCATAGTGCAGTTCACAATACCGGTTCCATACAGAAAAAGTTTACCAATGCCTGCAATGCAGAGTCAGGCTCGTATTAATAGGGAGCTGGATTATGGGCTTTGATACCACTCAGATCTGGATTTCACTGTAGCTTCCTTTTCATCAGTTGTTTATTCTTGGCCAATATTCAATGCTGTTATTCCTAATTTTTTTTTTATTTTAAAAACATGAACAATGAAATCTCCGCTAGTGTTGCCTTAAGGGCTTAAAGATGATCTTTATAACAAGTCCTATAGCTCTGGCCTTGGCAGAAAGCAAGTCCTGGGTCAACAGTGGCTGTGACTGCTGTTTCCTAAACTCACATCTATATCCGTGCCATTGGCCAAGAGGTGGAGGGAGCCCAGCTGGCGCTGGGTACTCATGGCATTTCTCTCCCCACCCCCTGGCAGAGCCCCTCTGTACACGCTTCATGGACTTCGTGTGTAAGAACCGCCAGCAGTGTCTGTACCCCTCCATGGTGTGTGATGGGATCATTCAGTGCCGGGACGGGTCGGACGAGGATCCTGCCTTTGCTGGATGCTGTGAGTGGGGATGGTGGGCAGTCATTTGTGGGCATGAGGTTGAGCTACCTTAGAATGCACTTCTACCTGATTAACAGGCCTCAGCAGAGTGTCCGAGCTTGCCTTGTCTGAGTGTCACCTTTCCTAAGTAAGACATGCTGCTAGTAAACATCTAAGGGTCCACCTTAATGAATGACTGTGGCCTTGCCTCAAGTGTCACCTTGTCCAGAGGGCTTCCTTACCATGCTGTACTCAGGAGCTAGCTCTGTAGCCCCTACCTAAGATCTTCACAATACTTTCTCTCCATTTGATATACTATGTATTTAGTTTTCTATCTACCTCCCTTGATAGAACATGAGTGTCACCAGAGAAGGGGCTCTGTTTTATTCATTGACATAGCCCTATTCCTCAACGCCCTGCTTATAGCCCCTGCGTGCTTGGGCTACCATAGCAAAGTGCCACAGATTGGATGACTTACAAAATAAATGTGTTGTCTGTCTCTGTCTCTGATATCTTACTGGTTTTATCTTGATAAAGAATCCTAATCACACAACCCTAATCACACAAGTTCTAGAGACTGGAGGTCCAAAGTCGCGGTGTTGGCAGTTGGTTTCTTCTGAGACCTCTTTCTGGACCTGCTATGTGGTCATCCTCACCCCGTATCTCTCTCTACATGACCGGTTTTCTCTACAAGCCTGTGCCTAACTTTATAAGAATACCATTCACGTTGGCTTAGACCCACCTTCGTGCCCTCATTTTAACTCTACTTAGCTCTTTAAGCATTATGTCCAAAGCAGTCCCTTGCTTAAGAACTAGGCATTCGGACTTCAACCTATAAATTTTAGTCTGTAAAATAACTCATAAAGTTTTTACAGAATGAATTCATTAGCTAACGGTGTTTTCTATTAAGACTTAGTTTGGAAAAAAAAAACTTCTATTTCTATTCTTCAAAATAAAATAAAATTAGGAAAAAAAAAAAAGGTTTAGTTTGCTCTTCCATCTTGCTTCTGAGGCAGCCCCATTGCCTTGCCCTCTCCGGCACAGATGTAATCTGGACTCACGGATATTTGTTCTTTGTTCCTTCTGTAGCCCACGACCCCGAATTCCACAAGGTGTGTGATGAATTTGGATTCCAATGTCAGAATGGAGTGTGTATCAGTTTGATCTGGAAATGTGATAGCTTGGATGACTGTGGAGATTATTCTGACGAAGCCAACTGTGGTGAGATTTGGGATCCGCCCCTGTGTAGCCTGGCCTTCCAGTGACAGGGATACCTGCAGCTAAGGAGAAAATGTTGGCTAGGACTCACCCTGCAGAATGTGGTTTCTCCTTCCTCAGCAGTGTGTCCTGCAGTTCTCGAATCCCCGATTCCAGTGAGTCAAGTGGAAATCTCAGAGAGTGAAGGTGCTGGGGAAATGCTTATTCTGTTTCCTGCCCTTTCCCTGGCACGTAGGGTCACACTAAATCTAGAGAACACAGGCGAGGTGAGGGCTTATGGTACATACACCAGGGAGTATTTTCTCTTCCCTGAAGTTACAGATTACAGAATCACCACTGGGTTACCATCGATACCTAAGTTATTCCTTTCATGAAATGTCCAAATAAAAACTCAGCTGATTAATACCAAAATGTAAAGCAGAGAAACACAAGTTGAGGGCTGAGAACAGGGCTGCTGAGTCTGGGCATGTTGCATTGTCCTTGGGTCCTGGAAGCTGCATGTGGTCTCTGCAAGGGAAGTGTCGGGGGCCCTGGCCTCAGGGCTCGAGGAGGAGGTGTGCGGGAGGAGCTTCGGGCTCTCACTGGCTCAGGGAGAGGGCTGATGGTGTGATCGATTTCTGCAGAAAACCCCACGGAAGCTCCAAACTGCTCCCGCTACTTCCAGTTCCGGTGTGAGAACGGCCACTGCATCCCCAACAGGTGGAAGTGTGACAGGGAGAATGACTGTGGAGATTGGTCTGACGAAAAGGACTGTGGAGGTGAGAGGGAGGCCGTAGGGCTGTGCCTGGCCAACCCCGAAGCTGTGACGCTCCAGAACGGTCTCACCTGCCTGTGTCTGTCTGGATGGAATCTGAGTACAAACAAACAAACAAACAAACAAAAAGAATCTGTCTGGGTACAACCTAACTTTGGCTCCTAGTGCCTGATATTCCTAATATTTTTGGATTCTTTTGAAGTGGTGACCCTGAGATTTTTTTTTTAACTATTTATTTATTTATTTATTTATTTGGTACAGGGTCTCGCTGTGCAGCTCAGACTCGTATTGATCCTCCTGTCTCGGCTCCCCAGAGCTGGGATTACAGGCGTGTGCCACCACACTTGGTTTCAGTGGCCAGCTCGGTGTGGGGACACCTTGGCATGCAGTGCCAGGGATCAGGATCAGACTTGAGTACCTGAGCTTGCCAGACAGGCACTTAGACCGCCAAGCTATCCCTAACCCCTAAGATTTGCTTGATTTTTAACCACCCCCTCCCTTTTCCTTTTGAAATCAAGATGATTGGTTTCTCCTGTTTCCAAGGGTGTTCTTTGCAGGCTTGGCAGGGCACAGCCAGCAGCCTAGAGTACCGCTGCTCGGAGTGTGAGCTGCAGACCAGCAGCTTCTGCATCTCCTTGAGCTTGTGAGGCAGTGGGACTCTCAGCTGGGAGTGGTGGGGCAGGCCTGTTACCCCAGCACTCTGCGAGGCTAAGACACAAGGACTGCAAGTTTGAGTCTAATTGGGCAACTTAGTGATTCACTGAGACCCTATCTCAAAATTTAAAAAATTTAAAAAGCACCAGGATATAACTCAGTGCCAAGACCTTTGGTTCAGGGCTGCGGTCTAAAGCGCCTGTTTAGGCAAGCTTAGGCAAAAGCGCAGGGACGCGGTTTAATCCCCAATACCACATGCCACACTGGCCCCGCCCCGAGGGTGGGCTGAGCTGGCCACAAAAAAAAAAAAAAAAAAACCTTGAGTTCAATCCCTAATAACACAAATGCACATGCACATACACACATGCACACACACACACATGCATACACGCTCACACGTGCCCCCCCCACATGCAGACTCTGTGGCCCTACCCCACAGCCACTGAGTGAGACTCTGCACTCTGACGAGGTCCCCAGGTCCTGCATGTGCTGTGATGCACCTAGGAGCACTGAGAAATGACACCTGCCTTTCTGCATCCATCTTGGAGTTCTTACCCGCAAAGCTGCTCTGGGGTCACTGTGATGAATGAGCTCCGCCCGTAGGTCTTCTGTACCAGCGCTGTGGCTTCCAGGCCACCTGTTCTTTCTATCAGTCCCTGCAAAAGAAAATTCACCTGGCTACTAGCTAGCATCCGTCTGATAGTGTGGTAGCTCTATTCCCCCAAAGGGAAGAGTGTCCCCGCTTCTGACACGCCATTGCAAGTGACTTGCAGATGGGGGCTGTTCTGAGCTGTGTGCACACTGGCTTCTTCCTCGGAGGTGCTACACCTGGGACATGTGCCCTAGGTGTGGGCACACTGTGCCCTGAGGTCGAGCTTCTAATGCTCTGGCTTTCCTCCTTCGTGTTTTCCTCAGATTCACCTGTGCTTCCCTCCCCCACCCCTGGGCCCTCCACGTGTCTGCCCAATTACTTCCGCTGCAGCAGTGGCCCCTGCGTGATGGACACCTGGGTGTGCGACGGGTACCGGGACTGTGCGGATGGCTCGGATGAAGAAGCCTGCCCCTCGCTCGGTGAGCCCTGTCCGGGCCCCTCCTGTGGTTCCCGCTGTGCTAGAGGATCTTCTAGCAGCACAGCCTGGCCGCAACCCGTACTTGTCACAAACCTTGTGCCTTTAGGGCACAGAGACTTCTGATGCTGCTCCTGGATGGAAAGTCTGTGGGAAACTACAGGGTCTCATTTTCCAAACTGCCCTCCGAACTCCCTGCCAGAAAAGGCCAGCCACCTGCTTTCCACCCCTGCTGCGGTTGGGCAGCCTCTGCTTCCTTCTCAGTGGGAAATTGCAGTTGGGATGATAGGGTGGTTTTTGTGTGTGTATTGTAAACTCTCAGAGGACAGGACCCAATTTTCTTGTTAGCTGGTTGTCTGGCCTGTGCTGTTAAAAGAAGAGCGAATACTGCCATCTAGTGGCTGAACACTGAGGCAGCTGCAGGTCTGCGAGAACTGCAGGGCTAGGGTGGGTGGGAGCAGGCGCTCCAGATCCCATCTATGCAGGCAGGAAGGTTAAGGATGCTGTGTTCTTCCCTAAGCAGGAGTGAGCTTCAAAGTCATTGACATGAAAAGAATAGATACTTGTTTGCTATGTTTTGCATAATCCTTGTCCTGGCAGAGGTCTACCAGTCTGATTTTCTTGCATAACTGCTTCCCTATATAAAAATCACCGCGGGGGGAAGGGAGGAAGATAGCTTCGCGGTCTAAGCGCCTGCCTGGCAAGAGCAAAGACCTGTGTTCTATCCTTGGTACCGCATGCTGTTCCGGCCCATGGTTCTGGGTGTGCTGTGCTCCAGCCTTGAAACCAGGCGTGGTGGCACATGTCTGTAATCCCAGTGCTGGGGAGGCTGAGACAGGAGGATCACTATGAGTCTGAGCTGCATAGCAAGACCCTGTACCAAATAAATGAATAAATGATTTTTAAAAAATCACCATGGATATCCTCTTGCTGTATTTCTAGAAGATCAATTATTGATGTTTAATTCCTGTTTTTGTTGTTTTTTTTTTTTTCATGTATTAGTACAGGATTTATAGGGTCTCACTACACAGATTGGACTCATAATGATTCTCCTGTTTTAAGCCTCCCAAGCGCTGGGATTATAGGCATGCGCCACCATGCCCAGTCTCAGTTGGCATCTCATTGGGCCCTGGGGGCAGGGCCAGCACGGCACACTGGGGAAAGAAACCTGGTCCCTGCACCTGCCTATTCAGGTGCTTTAATCCGCTGGGCTATCACTCAGCTTTTATGTCTTTTTCTATGTAGATTGTTGGTACACAAGTTGAACTTGGTGGTGTCTCCAGCTGTTGCCTCTAATTTCTTTAGTGTAAAAGTCTTTCAACTGGTTTTTCATCCTCATTTCTCTTCCTTCTAGCCTGTCTTCCAGTGAGACACATGCTGACGCATTACCACAGCCACCCCCACCCTTGGGGCTTTCCAGTGGCTCCATTCTTGCCCAAGAATAAGCGGCATCATTTGCCTTGGCTTAGATTTCTAGGACTTTGGTAATTTTAGGGTTAGCTCTGGGGCTGATCAGTTTCCCCAAAGAGAATTCCTACAACCTCCTGCCTAGACAATAGGAGTTTTTATGGGGTTCTTGGGACAAGAAATGAGATCTCCACATTCTGCTGCCTGTAGGACAATCCCAGGCTTGTGGTAGAATATTCTTGCCCACACAATGCCTCTGTGAGCAGCTCTCTCTTTTTCTTTTGTTCATGTGCTGGCCCGCTAGTCTTCTGTTGGGATGAGGTGTGTGGTGGTCATCCTTGGGGCTGTCAGGTAGAAGGATGTAGGGAACAGAGCTAGCACTTTCTTGCTGTTGCTCTGTGGTGCTGGGATGGGACTCAGGCTTTCCTTACACTAGGTAAGCGTTCCACCCCTGGGCTACGCTCTCAGACCCTGTGGATGCCTCTGAAGCATTTTTCACTTGGTTCCTTTCTTTTACTTCTCCCTTCTTCACTCTCAGTCAAGAAGAGCCAATTTCTGAGCTTTTTGAGGAATTTTTGGTATTGAACTAGTTGGTTTTCATCTTTTTCCTCTTAGGGCTCAGAGTAGTATACAATCCTCTTTCATCTTTTTAGTCAACTACCTCTGTCTGTCTGCTTTCTAGCTTCCTAAATTTCATGACTTTTGTTTATTTTCCTATTATCAGTGCCCTTGTGGGTTTAGGTCTTTAAAATCATTCTCTGAACTACGTCTCTAGTGGGTCCTATGAGGGGGCACATGAGGTGTCAGCGTCCAATCTGCTGCCTTGGTCCAGAGCTCACAGGCGCCTTCAGGTGCCCGTGGAAGTCACATCCACCTTCAGGTACTTGTGGAAGCCACACCCATCTTCAGGTGCCCATGGAAGTCATACCCGCCTTCAGGTGCCCACAGCAATCACCCCTGTCTTCAGGTGCCCATAGCAATTACACCCCCCTTCAGGTGCCCATGGAAGCCACACCCACCTTCAGGTGCCCACAGCAATCACATTGGTCTTCAGGTGCCCGTAGCAGTCACACCCCCCTTCAGGTGCCCGTATCAGTGTCTGAAGTTCTGACTTTCCTGAGTTACTGCCCTTACTGCCAAGCTCCTCAATACTAACATCTGAATTTTAAAAATCTCTTTTCTAGCCAATGTGACTGCCCCCTCCACTCCAAGCCAGGTTGGGCGCTGTGACCGATTTGAGTTCGAGTGCCACCAGCCAAAGAAGTGCATCCCCAACTGGAAGCGCTGCGATGGCCATGAGGATTGCCAAGGTGGCCAGGACGAGGCCAACTGCCGTGAGTAGTTAGAGAGCACCCCGGCCCAGGCCAGACTTAGGGAGCTGTACTGTGTGTGTGTGTGTGTGTGTGTGTGTGTGTGTGTGTGTGTGTG